TCAGTATTGTGAGTTTTTCTCAAATAATTCTCCTTTAATCTTGTTGTAATCCGAGAATAAGTTGTTCTTGATGATATATATGTTGTATCCCTTAGTTGAATCTGAGGAAGAATGATTGTGAACCCATTATTTGTTGATAGTGGAAGTTTTTAGGTGGACTACGGTCCCGTGGTTTTTCCCGCATCGGGTTTTCCACGTTAAAAATCTTGGTGTTGATTTTGTGATTATTTGCATTATTTTTCATCATTGTTTGATTCTGTTTTACTGCACAAAGAGGGAAAGAATTGGGATTTGTGAATTATAATTGTATTCCGCTGAATTAATCCGGGTAAATTGGTGTCTGGTTGTTCCTAGTTTTCCCAACAGTAACAGCCTTCCATCAAACCTAGCAGGGGCTGCTTCAACCTCCCCATCCCTATCAAACCAACTTTTATTGCGAGTAAAGAACACACACCAGCGGAGCAAGTAATATTGTAGCTTTTAGTTTTCTCACAAATTAACAAATTATATTTTTAATTAAAATAAATTCTTAATTTTTTAATTTCAAATTTTAATTTTATTAAAAACAAATAAGTCAAAATTAGGTTATAACAATTATTATTATTATTATTATTACTCCATACTTCAAGCAGAAAAAGTATTTTGAAAATATATCTCAAACACAATAAAATTTACTTCCCTTTAAAGTCTTACCCTTAAATTGAGAGCGACCAAGAGGGGAAGGAAATAGCTTTATAATTTCTCGACATTAACTTATTATTTATCTTTATTTGCTTTTGCAAAATCCAATTTTATCCTATTTATCATTTCTTCTGTTTACATTCAATTAAAAAGGTATTAATGATATTTAATGTTTATTACCCTTTCATTCACTATTCTATCCAGACAAGGAAAATTATCTCCACAAATTTTTTTCTATCCCTTTCCGACTCCTCCATTCCCTCCCCTCTTGTCACAATTTTTTACCAAACAAACTGTTAAATCGTTTATGTGTGCGTGTATGAATCAGGAACCCGGAGTGAATTAATGTTTTGGAAATCAAGCAGTTCATTTTATCATTTAAAAAATAAATAAAAAGTAATATTGCATGAATACGTACTTGCTTGAATCAAATGCAGGCACCGAATTGGGGAACCATTTTGAAGCTTTCGTTTCAATGTGTTGGGGTTGGATATGGTGATTTGGGCACTCTCAAAATATTTTTTCAAAATTAAATTAAAAGCAAATGGATGAAAAATAGATTATGATAAATGATTTGGTTCCAGGGCTCATTATGATGAATGCAGTTGCGTTCTATTATTTTTCTTCTTATCGGAGACCTAACAAAACCGCTTGTAGATACTTACTGGTCTTCAACTTTTACTTAGTTAAAGTGCAAGGATCTGTACTTCTGTACTGCTACATTCTGATATGATCTCTGAGGACGGTAATGCAAACCACTCGACTTAACAGTGGCAAATAATAATAAACAAAACAAACGAAGAACCTCTTTTTGAATTTTTGTGAATCCATTTTGATTTTCATGAGGGTTTATGAGACAAGTGGTGCATCCAATTTGCGGCGGCTAGGAGTGTATTTATGCAAAACTCTTCATTAATCCCGTCAAGAGGAAAGTAGAGAAGCAGGAAATTAATGAGATGAGAGGAATACTAATTCTGAGCGTATGATTATTAGGTTGTCAGATAAAGGTATCATAAGCGGAGGTGATGCAAAATCGTACAAATAAATCTACAGCTGCTGGCAACATAGTAATGATTATTATTCTCCTGAAGGTTGAAGATGTCTATATTCCGGTGTCCTTCTTGATCTTGTGCTCTGCATAATCTTGGCCCTTGGAACCTACGATTTGTACAAGTGATGTCCTAGGTTACCTGCTATTTATTAAAGAAATTGCAACCTGTTTCCTGTATGAACAATGAAGCCCATGCAACATCAAGGTGCTAGGATTTGAACATGTAAATTTTACAATCCAATTAGGCTAGTACAACTTGTGGATCATGTGAATATATTATTCCAAGAAAGTTCCTGCTAGACTTTAGAATGATTAATATACTTTACCACACCTAACGTAAATCATGAACATCCCAATCCTTTCTTCCATCGTATATGAAGTACTGTTTTGCATACTGTAGCTTATTTCCAAAAGGTCATGAGATAGATGTGAAATCATTGATTCGACTTTGGATTGCACTACGGTTAGCTAGCTCTTCAAATTCAGGTGGTAGGTGTCTTGAAATTGCTGGTGTTAAGTGCTTTGAGAATCTACTGTGGAGGTCATTCTTTCATGAAGTGGAGAAGGATAGATTTTATGCATGATTTGGGAACATTTACTGAAGTTCGTATCTGTTTTCAAACGTTGATTGATGTGTGAACTTTTTTCAACTGAAGGTTGACAGTGATGCTTGGATTCTGCCTCAGCTGGTATGTAGAATCATCTGTGAACACTCCTCTGCATAGTGGATGAAATGAATACCGCACATCCACATGAAACGAAGTATGAGAATTAATCAAGTATAGTTCTTTTCAATGTCCTTGTTGCTGCATGAGTCTAACATTCTATTTTACTTTCCCCAGTTCTCCAGTTATCTTACTGTTGATTGACTAAAGGACTGCCATCAAAAGGTCCTGGACTGTCTGTAATAGTCTTCAAGAATTAATGTGAGTATTGTTAGAATCTATTTATGATAGATTTAAGTGCAGCCAATTATTTGAATTTCATTGTAATTGTTTTCATATCAGATTCTGTCTCAGGATTTGCTGTAGAGTTTGTTATTAGAAGACCAATAATCTCTCAAGGTTGTTGAGAGTTTTTATTAATTTCAAGTTCTTTGCAAGCATTTAAATAGACATTCTCAATTAATTAAAAGTATTGATCTTTCATACTCAACTCTGCTCTTTAGAATTTATTTTTCCTCTTCTCAAATCAATGTTACATGACAACTTAGAATTCTATTAATGGTATCAAAACTTCTATCTTACGGGCTGTGAGGCAAGCATTTTGAGTGCTAAACACAAAAAGGGTGAGTATAAACACTAGCGATTTATTTTTTCTTTTGTTTCTATGTCTACTTCAAGTAATATTGCATTTGTAATTTCAATGTTCAATGGTACCGAACATTATCATATTTGGGCTGTTAAAATGAGATTTTATCTAAGATCTCAAGGCTCGTGGAATGTTGTAGCCACAATGGCTTAAATGAAAGCGCATGAAAAAGAAAAACTCAAGAAGGACAAAGCCATCACCTGCCTACATTCTGGATTTACAGATCATATATTCCCCGTCACTAAAGGAATCAGGTCAGCTAAACAAAAGCTTCCAAAAGTAGCCAGCCACCATTCTCCAGTCAGGACCAAGGAACCATCTTAGCAACATCAACGCCGCATTGAAGCAGCAACAGTGATCCCTCAAAAAAGGGATATATCCAGGGTAATATATATCAGGTTTAATTGTTCATAAACCTGATCCCATTTTATAAAGAGTTCCATAGATAGTCTTGTTTAGCTTGCGTGGGTCCTCAGTACAGGAAGCATGATCATCCAAGAAAAATCATGAGTGCAGAGAGACTCCATATAGCGTATTGATTTGGTTGTTTTGCTAAGATCACAGACATGAGTTTTCTTTTGCTAAATAACTACCGTCTGCTACTGCGAGGGTCTTGGAGTGGAATGTTGGGTTCATACAAAACTTAACATGGAAGTGAAGGTTTCAGGAGGATGAGGATTTCGTTCTTGTTAATAAAAGGAGCACGAAGAAAAAGGCATAATATATTATGTCTTTAGAATTGCCTTTAGTTAGTTGGGTGCTATTGAAAATTGATGCATTATTGTCAACTTGATCTTCTTCCTTTTCCCTATCCTTGATTTGTTGATATATGTTTGAGATAAAAACACGTGATTGGGGTATTTAACCAAAAAAGGAAAAGAAAAGAGAGAGATATATAAGATGGTAGAGGAAGGTGTGGGGACATAACCTTACTTAGCAACGTGGTTTTTCTATTTTGTTTTATCACATCAAATTATTTCAAATTTTTTTTTTAAAAAAAAAATGTTTATCTTAGTATTTTTAAAAAAACAAAATATACATTATTTTTTTGCTAGTATCTTTATATAAAGACATATAATACTTTGGAGTTGGCATATTTTCAAGTTTATTTTTGTTGTATGTGGATTAAAAGTGTTTGAACTTTATTAAAATTAAAAATCCCATTAGACTAACATATTTAAATTTCTAAAATAACAAAACCCTTAACTCTGTCTTTATAAATAAAAATGATATTTTTGTCCATGTTTGAGGGCAATGAACTCATAACGAGTGACCGCCTTGAACAATAGAAAAACGCACCTTCTAAATTTTCAACAAAAAAATAATTTTTATCAAAATTCTTTTTTTCTCATTTCCTCATAAACATTTGAATTCATCAATGCCACAATTAAAAATATACTTAATATTTATTAATATCAAACTTAAGTGTACTAGTATTAAAATTAAAAATAATTTTTAATCCAATAATCACTAGTATCAAAATCAGGAATATTCATACTCACTAATATTAAAATTAAAAATACTCTTAGTATTCACTAACATCAACATTAAAAATAATGGACGCTAGAATTTAAAATTATTCTAAACCCCAATGTCAGGAATATTATATCTTTTCTTCACATAATATTTATCAATTTCAAAATTAAGATTATTTGTATATTTACTTATACTAAAATCAGGAATAGTATGAACAGACTATCAATACCATAATAATTTAAAACAAAACTAGCGATACAATTTATTTTAAGTAAGACATTTAAGGATGATAATATCTTTTCTTTTACTTAATTAGTTTTATATTATAAAATTTTTGTTAACCAGTTAAAATTTTAATATATATATATATATATATATATATATATATATATATATAATCTTCAAAATTAATTGATTATAATTTCTAAAATGTCCCATATGACACAAAAATAACCTATACTAAGGTAAAAAACAAACATATTTCTTCACAATAAAATCTCTAAAAACATATTTCTTCACAATAAAATCTAAGAGAGAAGAAAATTGATGAATAATAGAAAAATATGGCAAAAAAATTATAGATTCTTCATGTTTAGTAAGTAAACAGTGCAAAAGTTCTAAGCTTTTCTATTCATGTTTTTTTTTTTGGGTTAATGAGGCAATTCATTTTATTTACTGTTTTTTTTTTTCATGGTTTGGCCTTAATTTTTTTTTTAATTAATGGGAGTATTATGGGCTAGTTTACATGTATTATAACTAATTTTACAAATTTTAAAATTAATAATTATATAAATTTTCAGTAACTAAATCTAAAATTATAAAAAAATAATTTTTTTAATTCTAAATTCTTATCATTTCGTTGGTTTGGCCTTAACTTTGCTTGACTCTGCACTGGCTCTGTGCAACCTTGTTAAATCGAAAAGTCGATGTGCGGGAATGCTCGTCTTCATGAGGAGATGTGAGAAAGAGACAATGGACGCCACATGGAAAAAGGTCAGGTCAATTAAAGGGGCTGGTTAGCCGTACCTTATCTAATCCTCGGAGAGATCCAGACCCCTATCTTTTTGTCGGAGTAACATGCAAATTAATGCTTGTGCGCATGGTCCATGCAAATGCTTTGAATATATGTCATGCCTTGAACTAAGATGTTTAAAATGTTTAAGAGTAAATTCTAATTTAATTCCTATGTTTTTTTTATTTTAATAATCTTGTAAGTTAGTTCCTGCTGTTTTGAAAACCATAAGTTGGTTTCTTGACCGCAATTAGCTGTTATTTATTCTTTGTAATTTTTAAATTGTCCTTTAAAAATGCAATTAATTTTAATTTTTTAAATTTGAATTCCAATGAAACATATTTTAGAGAAAACAAAGTTAATTTTTCAAGTAAAAACACTAATTGAAAGAACCAAGTTAGTAATAAATATGAAAAATATAGGATTCGACATTGGATTTTTTCGACCAAAGGGATCAGCTAAGCATTTCACTAAAAGTACAGAGAGATCAAATAAAGGTTTACTCAATATTTGAAGAATGATTTATCCCATTGCCAGTTCATCACGCGTCTCCCTCAAGAGGTGGACACATCAAGGAGGGTCTGATCCAGCATTAAATTAATGGTGGCCTTTTGTTGGGATGGTGGGAAGCGGATGGCAGCTGAGATGGGGACACGTTACTCAGTCGAATCCATATCTAGAAACCACATAGCAAACACCCCATTGTTTTGTTCTGAGTTTCAAATTGCAGGAAGTAAAACATGTGTGTTCTAAGATAACTACACCAAATTAAGTGTTTTCACTATTTCTATAGGTTTTTTTTCTACTTCTAATAATTTTAAATTATAAATTTTTTTATAAGTATACAATTCTAGATAATTAAAAAATTAAACTAATATAAAAAAATTTAATATGAATATAAATTATATTTTGTCAACTAATCCAGTTAATTGTTTTTAAATCGATCAATTGATTCATTTAATTAAACCAATTTTTTTTATTTTTTTAAAAATCAAAATTAATTTAGCTTAATTTCAACACAAACCACCACACAATTATTTGCAGTGTTGTGGCAACATCAAAGATTTAAAAAAAACAGCACATTCATGAAGTTTACTGGGGATACACAGAAGATTACTTATCTTCTTAGCAAGAATCTGTGGTTAAAAGAGTTTGTTTGAGATTGTAATAGATATTATGGTTTAAAATATTTTTTATTTAGATTTTAAATTTATATAACTTCACCCACATCTAAAATCTAAATGGTTGAAGAAAGAGAATACTTGATACGCCAAGCAAGCACCCGAAGCAACAGGGACATTTAAGATTTCTTTTTCTGCCTCATGCTTGAAAAATAACTGTACCTTTTGTCCCTGTACATAATAATCTTTAGCCATATCTTTAAGCTAGCCTAATATATATCATTAGGCTACCCTAAATGTTAATGAGTAAACTCTCTGTCTCCTCTAGAACACTTTTCTTTTGTATTTGTCTAAGATTTGTTGTACTATAGGTCTGAATTTCTATGCTCGTGTCTCTTTTCGGTGAACTAAAATATGTCTCGAGGTTGAGGTTGAAAATGAGCGTTTATGGGTTGTTGGTAACTGTGGCTTTAATTATTTTTAAAATTTTTGTTTTCAGAAAAGTTTAAAAATAATATATTTTTTTTATTTTTTAAAAATTTATTTTTTGATATCCGCATATTAAAACAATTCAAAAATATTAATTTAAAATAAAAAAATTAAATTTTAATAAAAAAAATATATTAAAACTCACTGTCAAACACATGTTACATGTGTTTGGAAGCCAAATCAAGGGCCCTCCATTTTTTCGATACTTTGCAGGGACAACGGGTCAATGACTTTGTTCCGGCTAGGTTTGGCAAGCCCAAGCATGCTAGGCCTGCCTTGCCTGATCAATTTTTTCTTTTCTTTTCTTATTTGTTTAGTTATGTTGGGTAAAATTATTTCAGAGTCTTTGAAAAATGAAATTTCAAAAAAATTATTACTTTATTCTTTAAATATTCTTAATAAATTTACAGTTAATTATTATTTATTTTACTCATATGATTTTATAAAAAAAACTTAATTAAGGAATTCTTTTTGTGTGGAATATGTTATTACAATAAATTATACTTTTTTATTTGATAATAAAAGAATAAAGAGAAATAAATAGTTTTTTTAACAAAGTAAATCCGTGAGATAGGTAAGGAAAAATTAATAAAACACCAAATTTGGATTAAGTTTTATGAAATTAAATGAAAAATATTTTTTTTTCCTATAATGGAATGTATTTTTTTGGGGGGATAAAGTCGGAAGTAAGGAACGAAGGAATGAGAGAGATTTGGTCATTTAAGAAACCTTATACATGTATATTCAAATTTCTAAAATGATTGTCAACCTATTTCACAAAACAAATTGATTATTTGATTATTACTTCCTCGGGATGAAAAACAAATCTTCAAAATATAATTAATAGAGAAAGTTTTCCAAAAAAAATATTTTCTTACTATATAAATTTCACAAAAAATGTAAGAATAGAAATTGATTTGAGAAATATTTTAAAATTAATGTAATTACTTTTTATCATTTAATATAAAACTTTAATATAAAGTGAGACTTTATTTTTTTCATTTGGGGTGATTCAAATCATAAACATTATATAGATTTTTAGTTTGAAATTTTGAATATAATGTATTTTTTTTGTTTGGAATTTAATAGAATAGATTATTATAAACATATATAAATAATTATTGTTAAAAATCCTTCATTGAATAAATAAACAATATAATAATAATAATAAATCATCCATCACAAGATTTATTTATTTTTAAATAGAATCGAATCTCAGTCATTTAATCTAATACTCTCCCTCCATGCATATATGCACGAATAATTAATTTCTTAAATAGAACCGAATCTCAGTTATTTAAGGAAAGTGGAAATTAATGGAAGTTTTCTTTCATAATTTAGTGGTGTTTTGCCTAGCTACACCATCTTATATTATCATATTAAAATGATTAAAAAACTAAAAAAATATTAATTTAAAATAAAAATATAAAAAAATTAATTTTTTTAAAAAATTTTAAAATATAAAAACAAACAAAACCGTCAAATTTAACACAGTCCGTTGCCGAGGGGACGAGAGAGTGATAGTCGCTTAGCACTTGCTATGCTAAATGATTTCTGGGGTAACAATCTTGCTTCTAATCAGGCCATAGCTTCCAGAAAACAAGGCAACTAGTCAATCCTTTCTGCTACATGGAATGAAGGGAGGGATTTCAATGCAATCCCCACATGCTTGAACATTGTTGCAGACACCATGTATTTCTCGGAGAAAGTGGTGGAAGAGAATACTTGAAACGCCAAGCAAGCACCCGAATCAACAGTGACACTTAGGAATTCTGTCTCTGTCTCATGCTT